GAACAGGGCATTTATATTGATTTGTTGTAAGAAAAACCTAAATGAAGTACATGGTAGTTAGCTATAACCAGCTTATTTTTATTCTGAACCAAATGCATGGTATACTTTTCTTTACCTTCTCTAGTCAAACCGTTTCGTGTGAGAAAACTGCTTGATCTTCAGGCCAAGATGGTGAGTACTAAAAAGACTTAGGACCACCCAGTGTATTGTGTGCTAGGTACCAAGTTTGGTTTTGAGGATATAAACTCAAATGAGCTGTTATCTTCATAGAACTTACTGTCTAGGGGCTCAGTCAATAAAATAAGAAATGAAAATCAGAGTCAGGATCAAGGAGGAGTGGTGATGCTTGAGAAAAATTTTAAAGAATGAATAGAATTTAACTGGGAAAGAAGGACTCTTGGCAGAGGGAGCAGTATGTGCAGACATGTAAGTGTCAAAACAGCAAAAACTATTTACGAAGCCTGTTTGGTATGACTGGAACAATTAATGTCATGAAGTGGTCAGAAGTGAATTTACATTTTTTTGTGGATGTGATCTAGGAAAGCATTTGAAGACATTCTATTCTGAGTACTGAAACTTGAATATACTATTCTCTGGCTCTCACTTGTTGTCTCTACAGCTCGCTTGCATTGTTATTTCCTGTATACTTACCAGTTGATAGAAGGCTGAAGCTTTGGGTATAAAACCATAGGAAGTAGAAGTTCATATGCCTAACTGAAGCCTGCATGATCTACATAAAGACATTCAAATTTAATGAAAAGCATAGGCACATACACACATTCTCACTTCTCCAGCATGAGGTTTCTTCTTAGCCCTTTTTGGTAAATATCCTTAGGTGATGTATTCCCATAACTTTTCATATCACCTGTATGCTGGTGCTGTAATGCTATAGATTTTGGCACAGTCTTTCTTGAGCTCCCATGTACTTTCACCTGAATATCCCATAGGTACTTCAAACTTCACAAATCCCAAACTGAATTCATAATTTTTTAATTTTTTTTTTTTGCTCACTCCAATGCCTTTTCTTGTATCTCTCTATCTTGGTGAATCATCTAAGCTAGAAACCTAGGAATCATTCTAACGCCTTCTTTCCCATACTCTCTCAGATCTTTTCACTTCCATCTCCTGAAAATATCACACAAATTAATTTTTGATCTTATGCCTCCCCATTGTATCTTAGTTCAGGTACTCTTTTTGCTCTTCTAGTCTTTTCCATGGCACTATCATCTTCCTCCCTCACCCTCTGTGGTGGTTAAGGTTATGTATCAGTTTGGCTGGGCCTGGTTTTGAGTGGCTGGGTATAGTTATTCCCCATGGTGAGATTGGTAATCAATTCCATGGTGGAAGCTACTGGAACGGCTGAGTACAGATGTGGTCTGCTTCCAGTATATAAGAAGACAGCTTTGAGAAAGGTCTCTGAGCTTTTTTGGCACATCTGAATCTGGCATTTGGCTGAATCTTCATCTCGGCGGCCTGCCATGTTGTCTGTCGATTTTGGGACTATTAATGGACTTGAACTAGTGGCCTGCCATGTTGTTTGATAATCCTTGGACTGTGCCATGTTACTTGTTGACCTTGGGTTTGTCAGTCTCAGCAGCCAACAGCTGCCTGAGTTAAGGGAAGCCTCCAGCTTTATTGGGCCAGGAGCAAGAAGCAGAGCTATAGCCCAAGGTTGAGGGGCTTTCTCCTAGCCCCTAGAGCTGGCACTTTGAACTTTGGGACTTCTAGCCCCCTAAATTATAAGAGAATAAATCCTTGTTTATTCAAGCCATCCACTTGTAAGCTGAGCTGTTAGAGCAGCACTAGAGAACCAGAACACTCTCCATATCCTGTCAGCTGCCAAATCTTGCCTGTTATGCATCTTAAATATTATTCAAATCAATCCCTTTTCTCTTCATTTCCCCTGCCCCTACTTTAGTCCAGGGTCATCATTCTCATTTGGATTACTGCTACCACCCCCAACTGATGTCTCTACTGTGCTGTTATGTCCTCCCAGTCTCTTCACACTGCTGCCAAAGTTACTGATCTAAACTTCAAATCTGGTTATATTGTGCCTATGCGAGAGATAGGTACCTTGGTATGGCATAGTAGATGTTCTATAGTCTCTACTGCACCAGCTTATCCCACTCACTGTACTCACTGGCGCCTCCCCTTCCTTCCCATTCCTAGGGCCAGTGGTTCTCAAACTTCCAGGCTGTTTAAAGCAGGGCTTCAAACCCATTCCCATTTGATCTCCTGCTGAGAATTTGCATTTCCACTTCAAATAGGCTGAATCAGATTCTGCATTTTAAGATGAACCCCAGGTGATTCTTACAGATCTGGTTAAAATTTAGATTCTAATTCAGCCTATTTGGAGTGGAAATGCAGATTCTCAGCACGGGATCAAACTGGAATGAACCGGTTTGGAGTCAAACCCTGGTTTGTAACTGCTATGATCTTGAACACACAGATCCCCTAGGCAGAGGGAGGTCTAACATATTTTTGTGTATCTTCTGGGTAAACTTCTACTTATCTTCTGAGACTGAGTTCAAGAATTATGTCTGTTACAACTCCTTTCTTTAACTTTCAGGTCTATTTAACGTTCTCTCCTTTGAATGCCCAGTGCACCCTGTACACATCATGGTACCTATAATGATTATTGTACTTTATTTGTTACATGTGTAAGCATCTTATCCTTTTATCACTAATAAAAATAGCTCATATTTGAGTGCTTGTTAGTATGTATCAGACATCATGCTATGTGCTTTACATGCATTCTCTCACTTAGTGCCTATAACAGTTTTGCAAGATAAGTACTGCTATTGTATTTTAATGAAAAAGAGACTAAGAGTCATGAGCTAAAGTAACTTGGCATGAAAAAAAAATAAAACTCACTGCCATGGAGTTGAGTAACTTGGCATGTTAAAAAAAAAAAACAAACAAACCCTCAGTGCTGTGGAGTCAATTCGACTCATAGAGACCCCTCCTTGGGTTTGCGAGGCGTTATCTCTACGGAAGTAGATTGCCCAACCTTCCTTCCGAGGAGTGGCTGGTGGTGTGAACTGCCACCCTTTTGATTAGCAGTCAGATGCCTTAGGCATTACACCACCAGACACTTGGCACATTAATAGATAGTAAATAGTTATTGTATAAATAAGTATGCTCCATTTAAAACAATTTAAATTTTATTAAAGTAATAAAAGTTTATACATTAAAAATCAAATTGTTCTATATGGTTTAATGAAAAAACAGCAAAACCGTGTCCTGTCCTTAACCCTGATTTTACTCATCATAATCACTTCAACTCTTTTGGGGCTTTACTGCCGTATTTGTAATAACACGTTAATGTTCCTTTAAAATTTTTTTCAAATGTAAGTGTTAGCCAGTTCTTTTTTTTCAATTTTTTAAATTGAAATACACTCAAACCTATGAAAGTTGGAACCTTTGTGAGGCAGAAACCTGTCAGAGAAGGAAAGCTCAAATATGTTCTATTAATAGAAAATGATAGAAAAGTGGTAAAATGCATCCTGTCAAAGGTGGACAACTTGTGTGACTTGGAAAAACATGGCAGTCCTGTCAAATTCTGGCTCTCACAGGTTTCACTGTATAACTTACAAAACATAAAATTCACCTTTTTCAAGTATATAAATCACTGTTTTTTTATATACGTCCAAAGTTGTGTAACCATCACCATTATCCAATTCCAGAACATTTTGATCACTATTAAGGAAATTTGTACCCATGATCAGTCACTCCCCATTCCCTCCTCTTTCTCCAGCCCTGTTATTGTTGTCGTTAGGTGCTGTTGAGTTGGCTCTGACTCATAGTGACATACAACAGAATGAAACACTGCCCAGTCCTGGGCCAGCCTCACAATCCTTGGTATACCTGAGCCCATCATTGCAGCCACTGTGTCAATCCATCTCATTGAGGACCTTCCCCTTCTTCACTGACCCTCCACGTTACCAAGCATGATATCCCCCAGGGAATGGTCCCTTCTGACAACATCACCAAAGTAAGTGAGATGAAGTCTGGTCATTCTCACTTCCAAGGACCATTCCAGCTGCACTTCTTCCAGGATAGATTTGTTTGTTCTTTTGGAAATCTGTGGTACTTCCAGTGTTTGTTGCCAACACCACAA